TGTGTGTGTGTGTGTGTGTGTGTGTGTGTGTGTGTGTGTGTGTGTGTTGAGCATCACGTAGTCCAGGCAGGCTGATCATCATGAAAAGTTAATGCTACTGACAACAAGGACCAGGAAGACTTGAGAGGAGACAAAGGTAGAAGTTCACAGTAGAGGTCTGCTGACCCCAGGAGGACATGATTACTTTGGAACAGCTCCCTGCTCCTATGCCCTCGCTGACCTGTCCATGGTTCTGCACATGCAGGGTCCCCTTCAACCTCTATCAGGTATACAACCAGCCTCACAGCTCGTACAGTGTGCCCTCACCAGTCCCAGACATGTTTCAGGGATGTAGGATCATGAGATGTCCCCGAAAGAAGCAGAATCAAGGATAGACAGGGGAAGCAGAATGTGTGAAGGGAGTCAGGGTGGTAAGGCTAGAGGGGAACAGAGAGCCTGGGGTGCAGGGGCCAGAGATGGACCATCAAGGACCAGGGTCTTGGACACACACGCACCTATAGGGGGTAGGTTACAATAAAAGAATGAATGGAGCCTGTGGGCAGGAGACGGGTCCATGTTCAAAGATACTAAACCTTCAAGCCTGATGGAGCTGGGTGGGTGACACGGATGGGGGAGGCAGGCCAGGTGCAAGAGGACATTTGGGAACCTTAGATGTCCGACTGAAAGGGATCCACACAGTCAAGGACATTCAAGATAAGAAATCAGCCCTAACAGCGGGCCGGGCCGACCAAGCAATGCTCAGTTCCCAAGTCATAAGCAGGCCTGGTCCAGCTGAAGCAAGGAAAGGAAAGTTCAGTTAATGCAGAGACAGCTGCCAAGAACCACAGGATATTCCACTTCTTTTATAATCTTGAACTCCTTGACCCTCCTACCACCACCTCCTAACTGATGAGCTTGTAGCCATGTGCCAGCATGCCTGGCAGCTGCTACTTCTTCAGAGAGCATCATTCACCTTTTTGTCTGGGTTGACTCTAACATCTGCCTGGACCGCGCCTGCTGAGGACCTCATTTTCCTGTTCTTTAAGACGCTCATCCTCAGACCTTTTCAGCAAACCCTGTCCCTGCTTCTCCCCAGGCTGACATTTCTGGATCTGTTGACCTGTCTGTCATTTTCCAGGCCACTTCTGTTTCCCAGCACAGAGTTCCTACTCTCCCCAGCCTGCCTGCTTCCTACAGAGCATGTCCTATGGGGTGTGACCTCCCTCCCACCGCCCCCTAGAGTTCCTCAATCCACTTTCATTCGCTCTGCTGAGGTGGGCACAGGAGGGGCACATACACCCCAGCGCCATTGTCTGTGTTCTTTGAAACGTTTAAAGGGATTAGAGCCTGGGAGCTGGGCGAGATGGCCCCTGGGGTGGGGGATGCATGTTCAGTGGGCTAGAAGATGCACTGAATCTTCATCTCTCCTGTTTAGGGACCTGGCAACGGCAAGATAGAGGGCGTGGATGAGGGGTCATGCAATTAATTCTGCTTTAAATCCAGTTTGGTCTTCTCCATCATTAGAGCCACAGACACTGTTTCCATAGCAGATTATCTGTCCCCAGATTGTTGGTTCACACTTTTTCCAGTTAACAAGGAGGCAGAGCCGGAGAGGCAGGGTACGGGAGTGGAAGTGTTGGGCATAGGTGTGTGCAGGACACGGGCCTCGCCCAGAAAAGCCTTGTCCCGTGCCTCAGTTTCTCTGTCTGTATCAGAGAAGTGAGTCAATGAATGAGTATTAGAATGAGTGTTATTCACTAAGCCATTGGTGAGGAGACTTTTCTCCTTGTCACAGCTCAGAGGGAGATGGAAGGCATGAGTGGGGGAACTCGAAGGTGAGGTTAAAGGCTCAGAGAGACACGGTCACCGCTGTGTGGGCCTGAGCATGGCCCCGACTTTCTATTCTGTATTTTCTCACCCATCAGGTGGGACTGGTGGGAACAACCATTCAAAGAGCAGCTCTCAGGCTCAGCATGTAGCTCAGCCGACAGAGTGCATGCCAAAGCATGCGTGAAGCCCTGGGTCCCATCCCCAGCAGTGCATGAGCCTGGCATGGTAACATACACCAGTAATTCTAGCATTTAGGTGGTGGAGGCAGGAGGATCAAGGAGTTCAAGGTCATCCTAGGCTATAATGTAAGTTCAAGGCAAGTATAAGCTACGGAAGACCCTGTCAGAGAAAAGAAAAGATTCTTTAAAAGGTGATAGCAATGGTGACATGGACTAAGGGTCTTATAGCCAGATGATGTCACTAAACCCTTACACAGAGGTCAGTGCCTCTGCCCTAACTGTTCCCTTCTCAACAGAGGTCCTTTGGGAATGCACTTACCCAAGTCAGTTAATAACTATAAACTGGGGTGGCCCACCTTGAAAGTGCAAAGGCTGGAGTGGTCAGAGGACCTTAGACAACACCCCAAAGGCACCAAATCTCTTCTGGAAAAGCAAAGTAGTCCCTACAGCAGTGGGGTTCACAGGTTGAGCCTGAGCCCTGCACTCTGGTGGGCTCCTGGGCTGGCGCCACTCACCTACTCTGGCTGTAGGAGCCCTTTGCTGTGTTTTCTGAGTTTGGCCCCCAATCCTCAACCATTCCATTGCCAGATGGAGAAACTGAGGTTCACAGGGGAACACTGACTGCTAAAACTGTGTTGTTTCTGTTTGTTAGTTTGCTTGATTTTGAGACAGGGGCTCACTATGTACATCTGGCTGCCCTGGAATACACTCTGTAGACCAGGCTGGACTTGAACTCACAGCCTCTGTCCTCTGAGTATTGGGATTAAAGGTGTGTGTCATTAGGCTGTTTATTCTTTAGAAGTAGGAACAGAAGTCCCAGGTCCAGCACTGCCTGGAGTCCACCTCCTATTTCGTGGACCATGCCCTACCCCACATCCCTGTCTCCAGCTTTTGGAGACTAACTCTCTAGCTCTGTTCTGATGCTGGGGCCCTGCCTGCATGGGCCAGGGTCTATCTGCTATAGCACAATGTACCCCTTTTGACCCACAGACCTGGAAGCTACCCTCTACCCCACCTCCTCAGCCACCACCAGAGGCTCTCCAGTCCTCCCTGGGCCCTCTGAATAATTAGGAGATGCTTCATTCACCCTCGACACATCTTCGTATAAAGAAAGGGCAGAAATGATGGGTTCTCACCACCCACTTAGGTGTCATCTTGTGTCAGGTGCTGCTGGTGGACCCAAGCAGGACCCAGCATCTCTTCCCCAGGCTGTGAGACATCTGCTCTAGACCGCTAGGGTCTCTGTCCCATAGGCACTCTCCCTCTTCCTCCAAGGCCAGGCCTCAGGCCTAGCATACTACAAAGAAACCCCCACACTCACAGGCCTCTATGTCAGGTGTTACCTCTCTCTTGCTTGAGACAATGGAGGTTCGGAGAGGTCAGACCATTTTCCATTTGATCCAGGTTGCAAAGCTAGTCCACATAAGATTTGGGGATCTGATTTGATAGCAAAATACACAAAACACCCAATGCAGGAGCCAAGAAGCCTTCAGAAAAGAGGATCTGGAGTTGGCCATTGGCACATGACCAGCTCAGCATCAGTTCTCTGATCTTCCCCACGATAGCGCTCTCTCTCTCTCTCTCTCTCTCTCTCTCTCTCTCTCTCTCTCTCTTTAGTCCTAGTGCCCTACTTGGACAACACTGCAGGGGCACCTCTGAGGGGCCTTGCTAAGAGTTTACGTTTGGGACACCCGGGAGGCCTCCTCCCAGTGACCCACCTTCCTGAGGTTCTAAGCACCAGGAAGGGTTGCTTCTCAAAGTTAATATTAGCCCTTTACTTACCCACAGAGGACTCCTGTGCTAAGCCTGGGTAAGTACTACCCTGGGAAGAGGGATGCTGGCAAGAACGGAGACTTACCTCGCTAAAAGTAATATTGGGCTAGAGAAATGAGGTTCTTGATGACAACGGGTTTTTTAATCCTGAGGAAATTGCATTAATGGCAGGGTGATGTGTATATATACACATATATATGTGTATATATATACATATATATATATGTCATATGTATATATGGAGGGGGAGAGACTTTAAGATATTTGTGTGAACTTAACACCCAGCATGAGATCTTAAAGCTGACAAGTGAAATTTAGTTAGCAGGGTGCCCCTTATTTCCAATTTATTGCTTTTACCAGGGACTTGTGTGAGCTGCAGGGAGGAGAACAAGAAACAGTGAGCCAGCCTGCGACCCAGGCACTGGCTGAATTATGAACCACAATTTACAAGCCATTACAGGCAGCGGATTCTGATGAGATTTACTGCAATCTGCCCTGAGGAGTGGTTTAGAATATTTTAGGGCCAGGCTTCACCTGAGGCTGCCTCAAGGGAGTTCAAAGCAAGAGACAGTGATTTTCATCACCCCTGGATCCACCTGTATCCACATTCCCAGTATCCCCAAGGATGCTACCCAAGAAGCTCAATTCATTTTGTCGGAGGAGGCAGGGGTAAGGCTTCCTCCTGCTTTCAAGGGATGGACACCCCTGGCCAAGGGTAAAAGCAATCTCTCATTTATTAATATCCTATGCCATTCTGGGCAGGGTCTTTCTACAGAATTAGCTCAGAAAAAAATGCAGCCTTATTGGTTCATTGACAAGAGAAGTTGAGACCCCTGAGATACACTGATTTACCCTAGGAGGGGTGCACCACGATGGCTTTGTGGGCTTTGAAGCTGAGTGTAATGGCACACACCTGTAATCGCAGGAGCACACTCAGGAGGCTGAGGTCAGATCTTGTCTCAAAAATCCCAAAGGAAGAAATAACAACGGAGGCTTTGAAGCCAGGCTGACTGAGGTTCCAAAGACGACATTGGGTAAAGTGACCAATACAGAAAGCACAAATCTTTCTGAGCCTCAGTTTCCTTGGCTATAAAGACAGGAATTATGGAGGTTGGATCCATAGTTAAGAGCACTGGCTGTTCTTCCAGAGGACCTGGGTTCTGTTCCCCGCATCCACGTGGCAGCTCACAACCACCTGTAACTCCAATTCCAGGAGATCTAGTACACTCTTCGGCCTCCACAGGCACCAGACACACATATGGTGCGCAGGCACACGTGCAGGAACAAACACATAAAATAAACAAAAAATATTTTAAAATGAGAAATATGCAAGGCAATGTGGAGGGGTAGAGAGCTAGGAGATCACTAGAACATCGGGTCTTCTATGGCTGGTAAAGCACACGGTGAGTGAAACTCCAGGATTTGGGGCTTCCAGGCTCTAGCGCTTTCTCCCTGCTACCCTGCTTGTCAAGGTGGTTAACTTCCTCAAGTTTCAAAGCCAGGGAGTCCAGCTTTTCCAGAGTCACAATCCCACTATACCTGTTTATAGGGAATGACGTCAAGAGTCTCAGCTCAGCTGGCCACAGGTTCCGTAGAGTCCAGTGAGACCCAGGATCTGCAGGGCTCAGTCCTGACAGTTTCACCACCAAATGACTGGGGGCACACTAGTCAGCTAGGCAGCATGGGCTTCTCCCCTGCAGACCTTCTCGGAGTCTTCTTAGGCCACTGCAGCTCTTGGCAAAAAAGCATCCAATGGAAGACCATGGAATGGCTCCCGACCCGGTTTATCATAAACAGAACTGGGAGACTGGACTGACGGGCTGAGGTGGTTTGGAGGCATCAGGATGCAACCTCTGCTTTTCAGCTCACTGGCTTGTGACCTTGGGAGACTCGCTTGACCTCTGCTGGCTCGTAGTAGCACATTCATGTGTGTCTCTGGAATGTTTAGGGTAGGAAGAAGACAGTTAAGAGCCACGTGACCAGTTGAAGACTACATATCCTGGGAAGAGCTAGACAGGACCTCAAGAATGATGTCATACATATACATACACACAATACAATCTTTAGCCAATACAATGGCTAAAGAGTGTCGGTTCAGACTCCATGCAATTGGATTGTCTGCAGGGCGGGACTCTGCTCCAGCTCCTGTGGTCCCCGCAGCAGGTCAACCCCAGGGAGAATGATGAAGGAGCCAAGGGGCTGGCAAAGCTTAATGTAGCTGGGCAAATGAATAATTAATACACGAGGAGCCAGGATCTGTCTCAGAGGAACATACAGAAGGGAGGGGTAGTCAAAGGGACCAGTCAAGGTGCAGGGAGAGCCATTCTGCTAAAGTTCAGCTGGGAACGGGGGCTCTGTGGCCACATGACTTGTTTAGGGTAGTCCTTTGTCTCGTTTACTAAGATCTAAAGATGTGATTCAGGGGTCAGAGTCATGGCTGGACTGCCAGTGAGAAGGGCGTGGACTTGATTCTGCTGTAGATCAGAGAACCTGAGGATTCAGACAATAGAACCTTTAGGTTGGCTGATTTTTGCCCCAGAATGTAGACACTGGGTAGCAATGGATAAAGAGTGCTTGGAGAATATGGCCTAGGGAGTTCATAGTACTTCTGGTGGCTGCCTATCTCCCTTCACCGGGGGAAGGAACGTGGGCATCATCTTCAGACAGCTGCACCAGCCTGCCAGGCAGGATGGATCAGGACTCAGAGTTTCTCTGGGTCTCTGAGAGGTGGATGGACAGGAGGTGTAAGGCCTTCAGTCTTGCTCAGAGCCCCGCCCAGAGCCTCAGGGATGAGTGGATGACAGGAAGGGGCAGCAGAACCTCACCCATCCCAGAGGGTCCTGGCCCAGTCAATGGTCATGCTAGCTTCTCCTTGGGGGTCTCTGGGAGGTTACAAACCCCACATTCCTGATACCCCCAACCTTTGAGCGTTGTGGAAAGGAAGAGAGTATCAGTGCACAGTGACTGCCAGCCAGGACCATCATCTCAGGCCCATAGCATAATCGAGGAGGGGCCTGTGTGCCCACTCATGACCTTAGGGCTCTTTGTCTGGTGAGTAACCTTCCCCAGGCCCCTGTGATCTTTCTGGAGAACCAACCATGCTTCTGGGAGAAGAGTCTGCCAGGCTGAGGAGGAAGTGAGAGAGCTTCTCTGCTCAGCTAGGCAAGCCTCATCACAATTGCCACCAACGCGGGCCTTGCTTATTCCAACTTGGTGACAGAGGCCCCAAGTCACATTATTTAATCTTCATGAGTACCCCAGAAGAGGAACACTGATTTCCCATCTGACCTGGAGTGAAGGGTACAGAGAGGTGACATGTCCAAGTCCTCACAACTGGGATGGGCATTGCCGGAACCCTGTCTGTCACCTCTCTTGCATTATCTACGTGCACAGTTCATCAAGCAGAGAAGTCACTATCAGTTCTGACTTGCTCCTCATTCTGTGTGTCAGGGGCTCAGCTGAGCCCCAGTGCCCAAGCCTTCAAAGGAAAGGAAATAGCATGTGCAAAGGCCTGAGGGTGTGAGAAGGCGTGACCCAACCAGAGGAAGCAGAAAGAGGTGAGGAGGCTGTGGCACCTTCCAAGCTAAGGAAGGGATTTGAACTTCATCCCCAATCAGTCTTCTGGGGGTGAAGGCGCTCAGATGAGTGCGTGACACACAGGGGGAGACTTCTCTAGCTCTGCATGTTGTGTAGATTGAGAGCGAATGGGAGTCGGGGGAGGCTAGGGAGGCAGCAGCAGACATTGATGTGAAGGGGGTGAGGACCCCGGTCAGGAATGTGCTTGAGTCTGTGGGTGTCTCAGCTGCGTGTTTGGGGCTGTGGCGGTACCATGCACCACTGCTGCAGCTTGAGTCTGTGGGTGTCTCGGCTACGTGTTTGGGGCTGTGGTGGTACCGTGCACCAGTGCAGCAGTGTGTAGCTAAGAAAATGTGTGCCTGTCACCATAACCGGGGTTCCCAACATCCCCTTCAAGGGCACACTCCTAAGGACCTGACTTAGGGAAGAGGATCACAGAGGACCCCAGCATTCTGTCCTAAGCGACCAGAGGGCTGGAACATGACATTGTAAACTCTGCATGAAGAGAAGGTGTGGGAACTTGGAAAAAGAGAACTTTGAGGTTCCTGAGTGACCTTCAGGTAAATGGATCTACTTATCCTCCAAACATGGGAGTTGAAGCTATGGGTCCTTGTCTGCCCTCCCTAACTCAATCCCTCCGGCTGGGTCTCATTCAGTCTACTCACTGTCCCTGCGAACTGCATGGTAGGGATGAATATAGAGCAGCCATGAAGCTATAGTCCCTACCCTGCGCAGAGGCCTGGCCCTCTGGTTCTCTGAAACCAGGGCTGATGTCCCACTGGAGACTCTATTTATTCTAAACTTTCAGGTTCGGGGGTCTCTGTTCAAAGGGTCTAGGTTGCCTGCTCTTAAAGGGGCCCCATTGTTCTGGTCTGCAGCAACAGGCCTGGGACAGGGCGGTTCGACCCTCCCAGCTGCAGAGACACTCCCAGGCCCTGATTGCAGCTGGAGCTGTAGGAGCATCCGCAATTAGCTGCCAAGGTGACAGTCCAGGCAGAGCTGCTAAACAGGCCCATTAGAGCACATTAGTGAATAGACAAGACACGCTGGACACTTGGTGGGGGCGCTGGCTTGGTGGGACCGTAGCTGGGAGGTTGGCCTGAGACATGTCAGGGAGGGCAGGCCCTAAGGTGAGAGATAGGTTGTGGGGTGAGGGGCTGTTCTTCTCCTGTAACCACAAGGCCTCAGTGGGGTGCCCATCTGTGGTCACTCTAAGTCCACTTGCAAAGTGACTTCTGCCCAGCCCACAGATAATGGCTTTAATGGGGCCTCTTGCACACGGAACACTTAACGAGCCCCCGTCCCAGCCATCAGCCCATTAGCTCAGCTTCTGTGGCCGGGCTTGGGAGGGAAACAGGGGGAGGACCCATGGAGGGACAAGTTAAAGGTTAACCAGTGAGCTAATGGGAGCTGAGTAGCTCCCAGGCTTCCTTCTTTAACTGCCAACCTACAGAGTCTTGGCCCCAGGACTCTAATGCTCTAGGCCCTAGGGACCTAGAGTCTGAATCACCGCTGTAAGCTCAAAGCCTGGGGCAAGGCTGGCATGGGGCAGGTTCTTCCAAATAGTGTGTACTGAGGGTGAAAATGAGGCTCCTGGCATCATAAGACAATGATCACAGAATCCAGCAGATGTGGCTCAGAATCCAGAGAAATGCTTTCTGACTGTAGCTGCACCGGGAGACGCAACCTCCTGGTACCTCAATTCTTCTGCAGCATGGAGCTAATAACAGGGTGGGTTCCAGGGACGTTAAATGAGACGCTGTGTGCAAAGAGCTGGCTAAGTGCACCAGGGTCGGGTGAGGTGGCCACTGTTGCTGTCATTATTGCCTAACTCGGTGTCTCACTTGGCGAACTTGTCTGAACAATAGCGGTTGTGGGTCCTAGGCCACAGCTTCTGCCCTAAGACACACTAAGGGTATCCTTAGCTCTGAAAGCTTCATGGCTCTGCTGAGGACAGGTTGGCACTGCTAGGGAAACTACCACACAAGAGCAGACAGCCCAGAGCAACAGATCTGTGCCGGCGCGAGCTGATAAATGTCAGTAGCTCTAAGAACATGCCCTTCTTGACAGTGCCCAGCAGCAAGGGCTTAGGCATGGGAGTGCAAGCCCAGAGAGAAAGCCTTGATCTTTGCCTGGCTGTACAAACAAGCTGGGTGGGACTGCGTGGCTCAGGAGGTGAGGGCCGGAGATGAGGAAACCGTGTGCTCTTCCTGAGCTTAGAGACACAACAAGAGCTCTAAGCAGCTTATAGAGGACCCAGTCCCAGCTCTCTTTCACCTGGCATAATTCCAGGGGTGGGGACTCACACTGTAACAGTAGTTGCCTCCCTGGGCTTCTCCTCACCCCATTGCTGAATCCTGCCTCCATCTGGAGAAAGACAGACAGACAGACAGACAGACAGACAGAGCATCCTCTCATACACAGAATGGGAACCCAAAGCAGAGAAGGGCCTGGTGACCTGCATTCAATGACGGGGGGTGCAGGGAGGGGTACACTTAATGATAGAAACAACTCCTTTCTCTTTTCTACCCTCTCACTTAGTCCCATGGTGTTAGAAGAAAGCCCTTGCTGGGTGTTTCCCATTGTGTCTGCAGAGCTGGCTCTAAGTTCATTTACACAGCACAGGGCTCTTCGGCCTACATTCCAGTGATCTCATCTCAGGCTGGAAGCATCATGTTGAAAATGTATTTACCATGCATAAGCTCCCAGCACTGCATCTCAGCTCTCCAGAGTGCCGCGAATGTCAGTTGTCACCCCTGGTGACTGACTGGAAGTCACAAGTGTCTCACTGCCACTGCTCAGCATCCAGAGAGGGGACAGCGCTGGTTGCTACCAGCTCAGGAAAAGATCCCAATCTAAGACCTGAAGTCTGGCTTCTGCCAAATGAGAGTCACCATTCTTCCCAATGTGGAGAAAGCCTAAGAACATAAGGGTAGCCTGTACCTACCCGGTGTCTTCACCTGACATGGGACCACAGGGGTGGCTAAAGTCACCATAGTCAAAGCAGAACCCTCCACACACGCACTACCTCACAAGAAACCAACCTTGTCCTCAGCCCACCCTCCCCATGACTCAGTCTGGATACCAGGGGGTCTACCCGTGGTACTGTCTTTCTCTCTCCCATCACATCACTCCTATCCAGGCCAGTCATCTCTTAGCTGTCAGAATATTCTCCTTTCTAGTCACATAATGGCCAGAGATGCCACAGTAAAACTACAGCTGGGCCATATGACTCCCCTCCCCCATTCTTTCCTTTGGTTCTTATTTGTTTGTTTGTTTATTTGTTTGTTTATCTCAGACTGGCCTCAAACTGACCCTCCTGCCTCTGTTTCCTGAGTTCTGCATTTATAAGCATGTAC